GGCTACATGCAGCAGTTTAAAGTTAATCCGAACTAAGTCCTTAGTTCGGATTAACTGTAACTCCTTGTGGAATGAGGTGTAAGAGTTAATCCGAACTAAGGACTTAGTTCAGATTAACTTTAAACTGCCGCGTGTAGCAGCTGGCAGTTCATTTGAACTAAGGGGGATTTAAAAATGGCAGCCGGATGGGAACATGCAAATAAAGCCTGGGATATGAGCTAGTGTAGACATACCCATATAGATTCAAACTCTGTTTGCAGGTTAGTCTGTAAATGTTTAAAGGCTAGGTAGCAATGAAATGGAAATGTGACAAAATAGTAATTAAAAAAGCTTATTACATATAAACTAATCCTATATGTGTTGTTCTCTTCACAGGGGAAAGATTAATTTCCTTAATTGCTAAACCTGTATAATTTCCCAAAACACTAGCTGATTAATTTAATTTCCAAACCTAGCCATTTACTCCAAGTTCATGCATGGACATAACCTAGAAATGAAATATGATAGGAGTGCTCTGTCTTAAGCAGTATGGGTATGACTACACTAGCCCCCTAGTTCAAACTAGGGAGGCTAAGGTAGGCATTTGAAGTTGCAAATGAAGCCTGGGATTTAAATATCCTGGGCTTTATTTTCATCTTCCCGTGCAGGCACAATTTTTTGCACGGGAAGATGCAAATAAAGCCCAGGATGTTTAAATCCTGGGCTTAATTTGAAACTTCAAATGCCTACATTAGCCTCCCTAGTTCGGACTAGGGGGCTAGTGTAGACATAGCCTTTTTCAGGAGAAGTGAAAAAGAAACACTTAGCATTTTAGGTACTGAAGAATGCCACTTCCTGTATTTCTGTGGAGGGACTTCGACCCACCAAATTAAGAAATGAAAGAATTTAGCATGCCCTGATATTTCAGCACCCATGGGAGGTGGAAAGATGTGAAGTGGACTTTTCCAAATCTGTGCAACAAGAAAGAGAAATGGGCCCATCCTTTCTATATTCCATCTACAAGTTTGTGCGTTATTGCTAAGTTCCTAAATCTGTGTTATATTCCTTACAAAACAAATAAGGCCCCAGTTTTTGCCCTGAAGAGTATACAACCAAAATTCAACACAACATTACAAAAAAAACCTTCGTCGGCTGATCTTTTTTGGTCAGGTCTGTCAAGGGGCCTGCTATGGCTGCGAAGTCCGGCACAAAGCGGTGGTAATACCCGGCCAGCCCCAGTAGCTGGCGGACCTGTTTCTTTGTTTTTGGGGCCGAGTAGTCTCTCAGTGCTTCGATCTTATCTATGAGCCGCTTCAGCATCCCACCCCCGACCGTGTACCCGAGGTAGGTGACTTCTTGCCTCCCGAACCGGCACTTGTTGGGGTTGGTCAGCCCACGACCTACTAAAGACGGCAATATCGTCGATGTAGGCCGTGGCGTATTGCCGGTGGTCGTGTAGCAGCTTATCCATAAGCCTTTGGAAGATGGCCGCCACGCCGTGCAGGCCAAAGGGCATTGTTACAAACTGAAATAGCCCTAACAGAGTGTAAAACGCGGTTTTCTTTTTCGATGCGGGGGTAAGGGGAATCTGCCAATAGCCCTTGGATAAATCGAGGGTCGAGATGTATTTAGCCCCCCCAATCAGGCCAGCAGTTCCTCGGGCCAGCATGGGGTACGCGTCAAACCGAGAGAGGGCATTCACTTTTCTAAAATCTATGTAAAACCTGAGGGTCCATCAGGTTTGGGCACGAGGACAATGGGGCTCCTCCACTCGCTATGGGATTCTTCCATGACCCCTAGTTCCGGCATCGCCTGGACCTCTCCCCATACCGTGTCCCACATCTTTCGGGGGCGGGGGCGGATGGCGTCGCACACCTTCGTACCGGGCGTGGTCATGATGTGATGGCTTGTCATGGCCGTCCTTCCCGGCGTAGTTGACAGTACTGTCGGGTACTGCTGGAGTAGGAGGCGGAGGTCGTCTTGTTGATTCGGTGTCAGGGCTGCCTGCATTCGCACCGGCAGTGAGGGGGCTAAGTCTCCAACCCACGGACCTAGGTCTACCTCGCGTTCCTCTGGGACAACCAGCAGTTGCTCGCGAACCTGCCACCTTTTCAATAAGTTCACATGGTAAATTTGGATTGTGCCGTACCTCATAATCCACTTCCCCGAAACTTCGGAGAATCTTGAACGGGCCCTGCCACTTGGCCAGCAACTTGGACTCCTGGGAGGGGAGGAGTACCAATACCTGGTCCCCGGGCTCGAAGCTCCGCCGTTCGGTGCCCCAGTTGTAATTGCGGGCCCGCTTTTCCTGAGCCTGGGTGAGATTGACCTTGGTGAACTCGGCCAGCCTTTGCAACCGCTCCCTGAGTGGTATAATATACCGGACCGTACTCATTCCCCTCGGGCCGTGTTCTTCCTAGGCCTCCCTCAGGACGTCCAATATCCCGCGGGGTCTTCGCCCGTATAGGAGTTCAAAGGGGGAGTACCCCGTGGACGCCTGCGGGACCTCCCTGATTGCAAACAGCAAAGCGGGGAGTAGGGTGTCCCAGCCGCTAGGGTCCTCGTCCACAAATCGGCGAAGCATTGCCTTCAGTGTTCGATTAAAATGTTCTACCAAGCCATCTGCCTGGAGGTGGTAGGCCGACGTTCTGAGGAGCTTGATCTCCATCAGTTTACCCAGTTCGGCCATTAAGCGGGAGGTTACATTGGTGCCCTGGTCTATCAGGATCTCCTTGGGGATCCCCACCCTCGCGAATATCCGCACCAGTTCGGTGGCGAGGGTAGGGGTGGTGGTGTTCTTTAGCGGGACCGCCTCGGGGTACCGCATGGTATAGTCTATGACCACCATGATGTACTTATTCCCCGTCTTAGATTGTTCAAGGGGTCCCACTAGGTTGAGGGCAATCCGCTTGAAGGGCTCATTCACCAGCAGCATGGGCACTAAAGGGGCCTTAAGGACCCTTCCCAACGCTGTCGTTTGGCACGCCTCACAGGACTGGCAGAAGTTGCGCACCTCCCGGTACACCCTGGGCCAATAGAACCTTTGCAGTATTCTCTGGAGGGTCTTTCCACCTCCAGGTGCCCGGCCCACGGGTTATCATGGGCCAGCTCCAGGACTGCTTTCCTATGGGTGAGCGGGACAAGTAATTGTCTCCGGTCACCCCCGCCTACCAGGTCCCTAAAAGCGCGATACAGCCGGTCCGCATGTACCTCGAACCTTGTCTTGTTTTGTCCGTCGTCGGGATCGTCCACTGCCCCGTTGGTCGCGTATTCCCATGCTCGGCGGAGGGAGGCGTCGGCCTGTTGGGCCTCGACGAAGTCTCTCCCCTCGAGGACCTCCTCCATCATGAGTTGCCACCGTCCCTCTGTGCCCCTCTGCGTCCGCCGTGGAGGGGGCCTCTGGGATAGCGGGTTCAGCCGCACAGGCTTGCCCATCTTCTGTTGGCCTGCGCCACACTGCCCATAGGTGGTGAAACCCCCTCCAGTCGTGTCCCAGTATCAGAGGGTAGGGTAGCTGCGGCGCTAAGGCCACCTGGCACTGAGTCTCTCCTCCCTCGTTGGTCAGAGTTACCCGGGCCGTGGGGTACTCCCGGACGTCTCCGTGGATGCACTGCATCCTCACCGGGGGTCCCCTCGGAGTCGCGGGGTCCACGAGGTCCTCTCTGACCAGGGTCTGGCTTCTCCCGGTATCAACGAGGGCGTCTATACATAGGGGCTGAGGTGGACCTGTACCATCAGTCGGGGCCTCTCCTCCGGTCTGCCCTGGTACAGGGTGAGCGCCTGTCCGAAAGAGCAGTCCATAAAAGGGCAATCGCGTTGGAAGTGCCCCTCCTGTCCACACTCGAAACAGAGGTTTTCCTTGGGCTCGGGGTCCGGGTGACGCGGTACATCCGGAGGTGGCCCCCCTCCCTGACTCGCGGTGTCCTTCGGGGCCAGCCATGACCAGACCGGGGCTAGTCGCCTCTTCTTGTCCACCCCTTTTGCGTTGCGCCCTCCCTCGCAGACCCCTCCTTCGCCCTCCGGAGCCCCGTGCTGGATGGCGTGGCACGTGGGGTCCCCATCCAAGGCCGCCCGGGTTCGCCAATCCCCTCGGTGGTGAGAAAGT